AATTTGCTATTGTATTAGCTGCTCCATGGGCCACAAAGGTAAACACAGGGCTACAAGTTACACAAACGCAGTCCACAAAGACTTCTGCATTGCTAATGATGAGAACATCTCTATGGGGGTGTTTATCTGATTAGAACAAACACTGTGTTAGCACCTGAAAGTTGACAACCTCCATTCACATGCCCTTTATTGCTTCCAGAGTGATTTGGTGTCTGTGGTCTTGAGTACTAAGCTTTCCTATTGATCTAAATCACCCAGTGGAATCACAGATGTTTCCAGCTGTTCCTCACATCAGTACTTTGTGGAACAGGAGCCCTCTTGCCAGGGGCTCTTTCTTACTTTACCAGCTAGATGTCGCAGCTCCTAAGCCTCTCATGTGTTTCTAGTGCACTGTGTCTTGTCGATGATATTTCCTAATTTCAAGTCTTTTCTGCAATCAAATGACCTGATGTTTTTGGGAAATTTAATGCATTAGGGGTATGTTTGGAAACTCACAGACTTAAGAGGGGTGTGTGTGGTGGTGCATAAAACTCAATTGCACTTCAGTTTCCCTGGTGAAGCCGTTAGAGCATTTCATTATAAAAGCTCTGTTCCTTGACTGTGCTCAGGAACTGGTGATTTAAGATATGGTATTTTGTTTTGGTTTTTAATTGTCTTTGTTTTATCTTTATGTGCACCGGTACATTCTGTGTGTGGGTATGTGCACATGAGTACAGTTTCTCAAGGAGCCAGAAGAGGGCATGGGGTTCGTTGGAGCTGTAGTTACGACTGGTTGTGAGCTGCTTGACACTATTGCTGGAGCCAAGCTTAGGGACCTCTTCCAAATATACTAAACTCTCTTATCTAACCACTGAGTCATCTCTCCAGCACCATAGAGACGTGTTTTAAATCATCCTTCAATGCTAAGGACAAGACAGACATCAAAATCTCATGCTGTGTATCACTGGAGAGAAAAGGATCTTATTTCAACAAAGATATCTTGAAAGAGTGAATGCAAATAAACAAAACACATGTAAATCTAGGAAGCGCATACCCTAAACATGCTAAATAAACACATTGGCATGAAATGATTTAACAGCTCTTGGGGGAGGATGTCCTCAGAACGGCAAGTGTTAATTAAAGCAAACCAGACAATGTTTTATTAAACAGTGAGCAGGGCTTCCAAACCATACACGGAATGTTCCTTGTTAAGACAGAAGCAGAGGCGAAGGGCTGGGTACTGCCAAGTGTAGAGGAATACACGTTTAAATTATTTACATGCAATATGATGAACTTCCATAGCATAAGACTTAATCAATCTCATGTCTCTTTCTGGCTGACTTCTAGCCCTCTCTACATGAATTGTATCTACCCAAGACAACGAGAAAAATGCCATGGTCCTACTTAAGATTCTCAAGTAGTCAAAACTCGAAATTTGTTATTTACCTCCTTTGAATAAATGAATTTTTAAATCAAAGTTTAAATAACAAAAATCTCCCTTGAACAGATAATTAATTCTTTCTCATCTGCTCCGAAGTAACACAACTCCATTAACAAAAGTGAAAGAACAGTAGCCAGTAACAGCATGTTCTTTGCCAGGAACCACACCAATCTTATGTAATCTGTGCAACTTCTCACTAAAGTGAGTTTCCCGATTGTGCCCATTCTGCAATCAGCTAGCTGAACTCTGTGTGCCGCTCGCCTGGAACATATCTATCATAGCTTTCTGAAATGTCTATGAGGTTTTCCATCTACATGGAGATTTGTGGGAAAACACAGAGCTTCGCTGTTTGGGGTTCATTTCTAAATATTTGAAATGGCATCACGGTACACAGAGCAATGCTGAAACTGGCGTGATTTTCCTTGTAACAGCTCCAACTCATTCTTTCTAATTGCTGCTTAGTGTGACGTAACTACTGTTCTCCTACTTACAGGAAGAAAATTCCTTGTTCAATTTTTTTTTAACCAATAAAAATAGTCCTATAGGTGAACGTCTTGTGCAAGTTTCCCTGTGCACCTGGAGAGCTGCCCACTGCACACCGGCTGTGGCAGCGCTGGTCCTTGGACAGACATGTGGAAGCGCTGGTCCATGGATAGACATGTTTAAACTTTCACAGACACCAACCACCACACTGTCCTCTGAGAGAGATGCTTATTATTGGTACATGAACACGTATTTCCCTACAACTATGCCAAAGTCGGATATTATCAAGCTTCAAGGTTTTGCCAATCTTACAGGTGAAAAATATTTTAATTTGTATTTTCCTAATTAAAGTACATCATATCATAGGTGATACCACCCCTACTGGTAGTTAAGAGTCACTGAGTCAAAGTAGGGGCCATATAAAGTGTATACGTACACTAAACATCTTATTTTATTTTAAAATACCAAGATGCACATTTCTTTCCACATGTTACCAGAACATGGCTTCTCCTTTTTGTGAGGGACAGCGACACTGCCCGGGTCCTCAAAGCACAGCTGTGATTCCTGTTTGGGTTCTTAAGTGAAGTGAGAAAGGAAAGACCTTGTAAGAGTCCGAATGCAGAAGTCAATTAAACAGTGAGCTTTTAATAACCTGCCTTTATCAGAACTTTTCAAAGCGTTCCATTTAAATTTAACAGCTCTCTCCATGCTGGTATTTCGCTGGTTTGCGTATTATTTAACTAAATTACATAATTACAATGACATTCAACCAGCACAAACCGGTTTGAGAACCAGCACACCTCTGGCTCTTGGAAACACAAAATCAAATGAAATAAAAAGCACAAGTATTTTCAGAAAGCAGCCGCCAGAGAGCCAGGCAAGCATGGCTGGGGGGGACAGTACCCTTCCGAAACACACGGAAAACTGGTGTCTCTGAGAGAGTGTGCAGTCCAAGCGATGGAGAACAACTTCTGTATGATGACGACCTCGTACAGTTTACTGTAAGCCTGTTTATTTATCTATACTTCTAACAGATCAATCCCTTTTCTTGTTTATTTAGAGGTATATTTTATGTATCTGAGATAGGAGTCCTTTCACTGTTTATGATCACAAATGTTTTCCTCCGGGCTCTTACTTATCCTTTACCTATGTCTTGCCCTTATCCACTACTTATGTCTTCTCCTTATCGACTACCTATGTCTTGTCCTTATCTACTACTTACATCTCCTTATCGACTACCTATGTCTTGTCCTTATCTACTACTTAGGTCTCCTTATCGACTACCTATGTCTCGTCCTTATCTGCTACTATGTCTTCTCCTTATCTACTACCTATGTCTGACAACTATTCTGTTTTACAAAAGTATTTCACTTTGATGTCAGGAAAAAAAATTCCTTCTTTACAGATTTTGTTATCTTTGCCCTTCATTAAGCAAGGGTCCCTTCGCAAAGACCTCAAATAGTTAAAAGAAAAATGGACTATGTAGATGTAAACAATGATAGAAATCAGAATATACTTCTATATGGATTCATCAGTCATGGAGAACTTAAGCATCTCCTGAGCAACGACTGGGTACATATACTGCTGAGACCAGACACTGACTTAGAAACTAATATAACGGAAACCACTTTTCCCTCTGGAAAGCAGCCTGCTCAATCAGAATCAAAGACATCCTTCTCCTCCCCATTCCCATGTAAAAGTCTGCACGCTGGAAAACTGCCATTGGAGTGTGGACCCTGACAGCTGGCCAAGTAAAGGAGCGGGGGTTGGTATACCTGTCACAGCCATCAGTCAGAATGACCACAAGTCTCTCTCTTCAAGTGTCTAGGGCCAATTCTGAGCACAGCGTTAACGAGGAATCTATCAGAAGAGTCAAGGAATTGCAAGGACAACAGGAGCGAGCAGGGCGGTGCAGGGGGAGTGGGATTGTGTTGACCTCAGCAGGATGAGCAGTGAGGGCAACTCAGTCTCCAGCTTCCTCAGGATCCCAAGAGACAAGCACCATCTAGCAGAGGTACAGAAGGGGAAGCCAAGGACAGGCCGTCCCAGGCAAGTGTCCTTCCACTGAACAGCCCTTCATTTTCACTATTTAAGACATTAAATTAGTCACTGACATTTTACTAGTTAGAGCTGTTGTTCACATGTGTAGAGAGAATGATGTAAACAAACAAAAACATCAACAACGAAACAAAAAACAAAGCCTCTAATATCCACTAGAATCTGCTGGAAAACGACAGCCACAGTCGTTAATACTGTGCCAATCTCTGTGCCGCAGGAGAAGACACAAAAGTGAGAACAAAACATGCATTAGAAAAAATGTCAGTGAGACGGAAATACTTAATGCTACACAACATTCTAAAAAACACATCCACTCAACAATATAAGCAAATAATCTACATATAAAATATATGCAAAATATAAACAAACCCATTTGGTACTAATGCAACTGAATAAACGTACTTTCTTAATTATTTTAACCTCTTAAAAGTCAATTAAGATGATAAGTGCCTAAATATTTTATAGAGGTGGGTTGCTGGGGAAGAACGTGCACAGTGATTTGTAACAGAGGAAGAAGCTCTCTAACTTTCTATATTACAATTCCCACAGGAACTCAGATGTGCGACACCTTTAAAATCATGAACGTGAAGAACAGGATCTTTGGATGGAGACTGACTTTAAAAGCATGTGGTTTTCCTTTGAAAGGCAACCTCTTCATTACACATTTTGAATAACGAAACGCTACTATTCATCCTGACCTGAATCTGTGTTGGGGGTGGGATCCACCTCCAGTACATCTCAATCCTACATCAAGCTTCTTTGTGTTTTTTTTTTTTTTAAATTCCCTTCAACTTGACTTTTAGAAACATTAATAATTTTTCTTTGTTTCCCTGGAGCATTTCTTATCAGGATTAAAAAGGGACCTATTCTGAGACAAACAGGATACAGGGTAATAGTGCCGCTTCCAGGCAAGCTAAGAATAGCTACAGCGTTTTCAAGAAATCTTGTCCCAGGGTGTGAGCCTCAGCTCAATGTGCGACGCAGGTTTTCTTCCAATTGTCACCACAAGTCATTGATAACAGAGAACTTCAGTTCTTACCAGGTTTTCTTGGTTCCTGGCTGCTATTTTCTGCTCCTCTTCTGCTCCGTTTTTCATGTATTTGACCTCTTCCACGGGTTTGATTCTATACTCATCTGAATGACAAAAAAAGGGGGGGGGGAATTTACTACAATGCAGAAAAGTGTCAGCAAAGCCAAAGCCATGCACTAGACCCTTGACCTTGTAGCCTTTACATGTGGCTCGTCTGGGACAATCTCAAAGAAGCATGCATGGGCATCTTGGGTCCCTCTGAGTAGGTGTCCTGCCTTGTCTGCACCGCAGACCTTATCCCGTGAGCAAACACTAGATAAGAAGGAGGCTCTTCCACTGGTGGAAATCTCTAGAATCCAGACATTGGAAAGCACCACACATCAGGAGACTGGGGAGAATGTCTTCCTTCATTCCTAGAGACCATCTGTCCCAAGTGCCTATAGCAGCAATTCCAGTTCTATGTTCGCACCTTAGTTTTTCCCCTTTTGAGCAATACGGTATTGTTTATGATTATAGAGTTGTACTGATGAACAAATAAAACCAACTGGAAGTTGAAATTTTTCTTTCTTAGGGCTCTTACATTAAATTCGAACAGTTTGCATGCGTGGGCAACTTGGGTCCCTTTCAGTAGGTGCTCTGCTACTACTATGTAGCCTTTAACCTCTCTAAATTTCCATGCACTGAGGCAAAAGACCAACTAGCTCGAAATGGGCCGGTGAGGCCCCAAGGCTGTATAGTACAGAAGGCTGGAGATGGAACCTAGACTTGTCAACAAGACAACACGGATCTCAATGTCAACATCCATCGTGGGACAAAACTGGGAAAGACGGCAGCCAATGTTCTCCTGTAGGACAGAGATTTGGCGGTGTCAAGAATGACATTTCCACCAGATTCCTGTCAACAGGAAATGTCTTGGTACATGAAGTTCAAAAACAGGTGTGATTTTGACTCATCTTTGGCCCAACTTGTGAAGGGAGAAAAAAAAAATCACAGAAATTATGGAATTACAAAATTTCATCAGCAAACTGCTTTGAAAATGGATGAACTCAGCCCTAAGAAAGCCAGCTGTCTGTTACTAAGAAGGCTTGTATTTCCGGCTAAGAGGTCGTAACATACTTTCCTACTGACTGAGTACAATGAGTATATTCCTTCAAATGTCTTGTTCTAGTATTTATAATACAACTGTCTAATGTGGTTGTACTTTCTCCATCCTGCCTCTAACACAGTATTTCTGAAAACTAGCTATAGTAACACCCAAGACAGTGTGCTAGTCAAATGCTTCTCTCCTCCTTAAGAAGCTAATGTATTTGCATATCTGCGTATAAGAAGACCCAATGTTTGTGACTAGGCCATCTGTGTTTTTTCCCCCACTTGCCAATTCAAGGTAGATATAGGTTCTATTCGTTTTTCTTTATTCTTATGTTGTGGAATGTTCCTTCACACTGTGTGAAGAGGTGCACTGTGACCGGTTTAATAAAAAGCTAATTGACAATGTTAGGCAGGAGGTGTAGGTGGGACTTCTGGACAGAGAGAGCTCTGGGAAGAAGAAAGGAGGAGTCACCAGTCAGACGTGTTATAACCAGGATGAGCATAGTGGAGAAGGGGTGGCAAACGAGCGTGTGGAAGAACGTAAACGTAAAAATAGAGGGGAACTTCAGTTATAAGAGCAAGTTAGAAACCAGCCTAAAGCTAAGGCTGGGCTGTTGCTATTAATAAGTCTCCATGCCGTTTTTTGGGGGGGCGGGTGAGCTGGCAGTGCAAAGAAAAACCTGCCTACATTTCTAATGTATGTTTGTGCATGAGTATGGTGTGTATGTATGTTCTGGGTTCATGTGCATACATGTGAAAGCCAGAGGCCAATTTCTGTTGTCTTCCTGTATCTCTCATTGTTTTAGACAAGGTCTCCTGCAGACTGAGCTTGATGATTCAGTCAGACCAGCAAGTCCCAGGGTCACCCCATCTCTGCTTCCCTAGCAGTGCAATTACAGGGTGAACCCTCTCACCTGGCTTTTTATACCAGTGCGAGGATTTGAACCCAGGCCAGCGCTTTACCATCTGAGTCATTTCCCCAGCCCCACTTCTACTTCTTTCTAAAGAAACATGAGAGACTTGAATACAATTACAGTAATGAGCCTTTCAGGAACCCCCAAATCTAGAATTACCAAGTTAATAGATGGATCTGAATCGTCAACTACAAAGTAGAAGTATTTCACAGCCCTTTATGATGACCCATGTGCTCACACAACCCCAGAACACAGGAGACTGAGACAGGAAGGTCTTGACTTTGAGGCCAGGCTAGGCTACATTGTAAGTTGGAGGCCAGTCTGGGATGCACAGTAACACTATTTCAAAATCAAAGAACAAACAAGAGAATACCATACTCTGATTTGATGCTCAGATAAAAAAAGGAAATTAATAATACTAACATATTAAGTACCGGTTACTCATAAGTTGTAAAACAATTGCTAATTTTAAAAGAATAGATATAATTATGTCCCTGGTATAATAATACAGAGATCAAAATACAGGTAAAAACACAGAAACTTAAAAATGGGCTGCCCAACTTTAGTTTGAGGCATTACTGTTTATAAATCAAGGCACAATGACATAATTGCTTCAGTTTAACTAAACATATGCACACTTAGTTGAGCCTTCAGCTATAAATATAACATCTCACAACCTGGATCGTGATAATCTGGATTCTATGACATTCTACCCAGGACCCCAAACCTCATGTAATCACACCTCATTACAGAACACGAGCAGAGACTTCTGAAAGAGCAGACTGCCCTCTGCACACTGCCCAGCACAGGTACCCCCGAGAAAGGGCCGCCCTTCTTCTCCTGCCCACTTCCCTCTCCCATCTCGGCCACCGTAAAACAGTGAAATCACACTCTGAGCAGCGTGGTAAAGTGAACATTCAGTCTTTATTTTCTCAGCTCTCCAGGGATCACAAATGAATTGAAAGTAATAGATAAACTATTAATATTTTTCTCCAATGAGATGGAAAAGCTCCTGGTGACTTTCAACACAGCATTACTTCAAACTCGGGCTTTTTCTTTTCCTTGCCTTTCTTTTCTATTCCTTTCTTATCTTTTCATGGAGACTGAATCCAGATCAATTTAGACAGCAGATAGCTTTGCCGGTGTTGTTAGCATCCTTGCTGTCTGGTCAGGGCGTTGTCAGGACAATACAATGTGACTGAATACATAGAATGAGCAAACAACCACCTAAGACTACAAGCCTCGCCTATCAGCACTACCTCTACAACACACAATGTAAAATCTATTCTAGCATAAAGCAGGAAGATCTCCAAGAAGCCAAATTTCTTTAAAACAATACTTAATAAAATAAAAGAAAAAGGCCTGCCAGCTTTGTGAAGCCTGGTGCCTGAAATGAGGACGGAGTCCATCTGGAGACAGAGGATCCAGCGGTGAAGATGCCGTGCATCTCCAGAGAGATGTGGCCGGCAGGAAAGTCTTCAGGCCTCAGGGTAGGCGAGCCCGGCATTCTGGGTTCCAGCAGTGGGACAGTCACAACTGAAGTCTATTTCCTTTGGTCAGTGGCACAGGGGAATTAATTTGTGGCCTCAGTCTCCTTTTATCAGAACCCCACCCTGTGCACAGCCACTGCTACAAGCCAGAGAGTCCTGAGAGTGGAATCGAGAGGCCACTAGGCGGAGAGCAGAAGCCGGGCTGTCCTCCTGTGCACACCTGATCCATCTTTCCTGTCGTTCTGTTGTCTTGTCAGGTGCCTCATTAAATGCAAGTCAGGAAGCTGACTATTCCCTAGGAAATAGTTTCAGGCTTCCAGTCAAAACAGATCTGTGACGGGATTTTTAGCATCTTATTCAAGGTAACAGCAGAGGGGTGGGGCTTGTGGGTAGCAGCCAATGATGAAAAGGAGAACTGGGTGTCAAAGTAGGTTCAGGTTTTCACTGTCTTGGAAAGTAGCTACCGTAAGAGCCCTTAATAGCTAGAGAGCTTTAGAGTTTCCTCTTCAGTCTAGCAAGCTTGTGAAACTTCTGACTTTTAATAATCCTGGAACTAGAAAAGCACCCATATCCTTCTAGTTGATTAAAGTCGGGGTGTTAACGTTTTTTTTTTTTGGAGATGTTAATTTATTTTTATTTTATACGTATGGGTATTTTGTCTGCAAGTATGTCTTTGTACCACATTAATTCTATGAGTGGCCTCTGAAGCAGAAGAGGGTGTCAGGTCCCCTAGGACTGGAGCCACAGAGAGCTGTGAGCCGCTGTGTGGGTGCTGGGAATGGAACTTGGGTCCTCTGATCTCTCTAGTCCCAAACCCAGGGTCTTAAAAATATTGTTCTTACTATTAAGGAACTTTTAGCAAGAATATCTATAAACCTTGGGAGACAGCAGTCAGTGTGTGACGGACAGCAACTCAGAAGGGATAATCTACAGCGGAAGAGAACGGCCAGGGTCACAAGCACAGACTATCCTAGCTAAAGACCCCCAGTCGGCAGGTAGCTCACAGCTGCCTTTAACGCTACTTCCAGTGGAGCTGATGACTCTTTCTAGTTTCTGCGGGCACTCACACACATGGGATACACATACACACATACACAAAAATAAAAATAAATAAATCTTTAAAAAATACAAAAAGAAAAGAAGGGTTGATCCTTCCTTATGGCTCTAGTGACTGTCGATCATCAGGGATGTAATTTGAAAGCACAAAGATGTGCAGCATGGGAGTCACGCTAACCTTTTCTAACAACAGTACCACACACACACACACACACACACACACACACACACACGTGCGCAGGCACCAATGGTCTGCACTTAAAAGCACATGTCTGCACACAAAATACAGAAGAGATGGTTTTCTTTTCAGCTTCCTCCCTCGAAGCCGCTTTAACTTAACAGAACTGAGCCAGGCCACGAATTGTTCAGAAACCCTCTCAGTAGGTCTTCGGAGGAGACATGAAGCATTTCCTCTCCTGGTCCTGGGCAGAAGGTTGGAGCTGAGCCAATAGCATAAGCAGGCAAAAAGGATGTTTGATGTCAAACAGCCTCTTCTTCAAATGCCTTCCTTCACTCTGTCACTCTGCAAGCCTCCAGGGTGCTGTTTCCCACCCC